CGACTTCCTGCAGTAGTGCCTCTCTCCCAGTCCCTTGCCCTACGCCAGTCGCAATACACAGAGCTTTGTATTGGATGGTGTCAAGCTTCCTTAAGAGTAATAGCGCGCAGTTCATGAAAGCCAGAGAGCCGTAGTCTAATACAGATCGTATTAGAGCACGGTTTTCCCGTTCATACACAGAGTCATTCTGCTTATCCCTCTATCCCTGCTTACAAGCATGCCGACTGTTTTCTTCTCCGAGACTTTGAATCCCCAATCGTTTGCCCATGCCATGAATTTGTCTAAGGCCTTCTGCATGTTCTTTTGTAGTTCACAGAAGTTCCTCCCTTTCCTCCATATGGTACTGTCATCAGCAAATTTAGCTAACTCAGTTTTGGCGTCGAGGTAGGAAGATTTCAGTATGTCGTTGATCATGATATTGAAGAGAGTGGGACTGATAACCAACCCCTGAGGCGTGCCAATTCCTAATGTTTGCTCGGCACTCAGGAATCTGCCAACATTCACCTGTATCCTTCTATCGCTCAGAAATCTTTTGATCCACCGAAACATTATGCCCGTTATACCAATTCGTCCTAACTTGAAGAGCAGCCCGTCTAGCCAGACTAAATCGAAAGCCTTAGTTAAATCTATGAACACGACACATAACAGGTTCCCAGAGAGGAGTGTCTGCGACATGACTTGCTGTAGTCTCACCAAGTGGTCCGTTGTTGAACGCCCTTTCCTGAACCCGCTTTGATTTTCGTCGATCAGTCGGTTGCTCTCCAGATAGAACTGTAGTCGTATGTTAACCATTGTTTCCAAGGTTTTGCACAGTGTGGATGTCAAACTTACTGGTCGATAGGACTCTGCCTTTGTTCTCTCTGGTTTTGGAAGAGGGATGACGTTGGCTTTCCGCCATTCTTTAGGTATCTCTCCTGCCAGCCAGGATGTGTTGAAGAAGTTTAGTAGTATCCTTTTGGCATTTCTAGGCAGATGTTTGAGCATCGAGTACTTTACTTTGTCATCACCAGCCGCACTATCCTTCTTGAGGGAAAGAGCCTTATTTAACTCCTCCTCAGAGAAGGGTAGATTGATTGGTTTAGCCCCTTCATTAGGTTCAATTTCTAATGAAGGGTGCTGTGAGTAAAATATTTCCTTTCTCTTCAGGAACTCTGGTGATTGGTTTTCGTCCCTGCTTGCGTCATTGAAAGCTTTTGCAAGTAGATCTGCCTTTTCATTGCCGTTGGTAACGTACTCATCTCCATTCTTTAGGTTTGGTATGTTGAATGATCTGTGCTTCCCGTTCATGGCGTTCAGCTTCTTCCAGACGGCACCTGTTTGCGTGTTTTGATTCAACGCATTACAGAATGTCATCAAGTGTCCGCTTTGTGCCTTCCGGATGGTGTCTCTTGCGGCGTATTTCAACTTCAGGTAGTTTTGGTGATTGACTTCATTGTAGTGGCGTTTCTGTAGACGTAGTGCCTTCTTTCTTTCGTTAACCGCCTTCTGACATTCTGGTGACCACCAAGGTTTTCTAATCCTTGATTGCCCTCCAGAAGTCTTGGGAATGGAGTTGTCTGCGGCACCTATAATAGCACTCGTGATGTTGGCTGCGTACACGTCGATGTTGGCATCGATGATGTCTTCTTCTTTCCACCATAGGCAGCCTACACGGAAGTTAGCCCAATCAGCCTCTTTTATTTTCCAATTGGGTTTCCCGTTGGGTTTCCCTGGTTGTTTCACATTGGATGCAGAGTTCTATCAGTAGATGGTCGCTGCCAAGTGTTTCATCTTCGTGTACTTGCCAGTCGCAGCGGTTTGCCATACCAAGCGTACAGAGCGTGAGATCCAGGTGTGAAGGTGGGGCATTTCCTCCAACAAAAGTAGGGCTCTCGTCGTTCAGTACGCATAGGTCGTTCTCTTCTATTATTGAGCATAGGCTAATCCCCCGACAGTCATTCCTCGGTGACCCCCACGGGACGTGTTTTGCGTTGAAATCCCCGCAAAACACAAATTCGCCCTGAGGAAGCTGGTCGAGAAGTGACTGGAAGTCAACTGGTTTTTCTCGTGACATCTAGGGGTACATAGACATTCACTATTGTCAATTTTGTATTATTGCTCAATGTGATGGCTATGCCCATTGCTTCTAGAGGGTCCTCTACGTCAAGCGAAACAGAAATATAATTTAAGTTATCACTGACGTAGATGGCAAGACCGCCGCCACGTGTCGTGCTGCCCGGTCTGTCCCTTCTCTGACAAGTGTATCCGGGCAAGTAGTAGTAGCTTGGTTTCTTGGAGGCATATTACATCTTTGGGGTTGCGGGTGATGTATTTTCTCTGCTCAGCACATCTGGGAGCCAGTCCATTAACGTTTAGTTGTAGAACTTTTACCTGGCCCGCCATGATGACTGTCCGGATGGATGCCTCTCTGTCTTGTCTATTTATTGGTCAATTGGCGTTTCACATCCCATAGGAGGTACCTCATTAGTGTTCGTCTTTGGTGTAAAAACCGGCAAGCAACTGGGCATATCGCCAGTGCTGTAGTGACGAACATGAGATATCCTTCTAGTTTGAAGTTTGTGAATTACCCATTACTAATTACTTCCGCGTTGTCTTGAAAGATATGTTTTTCTTTGTTCCTTACAAATGGGGTGGGGCGAATGGTTAACGCGTGCCCTTTTGATCAGAAGGGCTGTCATTGAGTTGTACGTGATGAGGAGTAAGGTTGCTGATTAAGGTGTGACATTGTGAAACCCTATTAATGTCGATTTTTGATCTTTAGTACTGATTATCTTTTATCATTTTATTAAGGGTCAATTATCTATTATTGTTTGTTTTATTTATTGTCATTGTGGTTGCTATTAATTATTTTAATGGTTTCTTCTGGTTATTAATTATACTATTCAAAAAAAGTAGGGGATATTTGATTTTGGGGGCATAATACTAAAATATGCAAATGACTACGAAAAAAGTCACTATAGAACCTAACAGAAGAAACATTTCCAGTTACATGTGACGCCCAACGCACCAATAGCCGCATGGAAGCAGGTGATGCTTGGGATCATCATGGGGTCCAACCCAAGATTTGCACGACTCTGACTTTGAATGTTACAGTCATTGTGGCATTGAATTCCAGGGTGGAAACATCAGTTTAATTGTTTTAGTGACCAGAAAACAAATTTTGATATGCGTCGGCTTACCCAAAATGAAAGGTTACGTGCCCTTGGCATGCTACAGATCGGCACAACACAGGCGGTTGTGGCGCGGACGATGAATGTTTCTCAGTCTGTCATAAGCAGGCTATGGTCCAGATACCGTGATACACAATCTGTACAGGACAGAGCACGCTCAGGTCGACCAAGGGCGACAACTCAAGCCCAGGATCGATTTATCCGTACCTTGGCCTTGAGAAATCGTGTCATCACAGCAAATCAGATCAGCGCTCGTCTTCAAACAGACACTGGTGTGAGAGTGAGTGGCCAGACGATTCGGAATCGACTGCATAGGGGTCACCTTCGCGCTCGACGTCCTCGCGTGATCCCTTGTTTGAGAGATCATCACATTCAGGCAAGACGTCGTTGGTGTAGGGATTGTCAACACTGGGATAATCGACGCTGGAGCAATGTGATGTTTTCAGATGAGTCAATGTTCACTGTTGATTTTTTGGACAGACGTAGGAGGGTGTGGCGTCGTCGAAACGAGCGCTTCCAAGACGTTAACGTCATCAGACATGATCGATTTGGGGGTGGTTCTGTTATGGTGTGGGGAGGCATCACTGTTGCTGGAAGAACGGCTTTACATGTTGTTGCAGGGCGTGTTACAGGCCAGTACTACCGGGACAACATCTTGGCAGTCCATGTTGTGCCGTTCGCACGACGTCATGGCCGCCGTTTCATCTTCCAGGATGACAACGCAAGATGTCACAGGGCCAGGATCGTTACAGGTTACCTCCAACAACAGAACATCACCACATTACCTTGGCCAGCACTGAGTCCCGACCTCTCCCCCATCGAGCATGTCTGGGACATGCTTGGACAGAGGTTACGTCAACGTCAACAACGTCCTGCCAATGTCCAAGAACTTGCTGCTGCGTTGCAACAGGAATGGGACAATCTGGACCAAAATGACCTTAGACGTCTCATTAGGAGTATGCCACGTCGGATCAATGCTTGTTTGGCAAACAGAGGAGGATTTACCCGTTACTGACTTGGTTGTGATGCTGTGGTAACTTTGCTGTTTGACCCCGGGTATCATTTTACCCTTATAATGGTCAGTCTGTGCCTTACTTAGTCTAACGATCATTTGGAATAAATCGATGAATGTGAACTTCATTTCATTTTGTCATTTGTTTCTTCGTCAGTTTCATTAGGTGATTTTAATAACACTTAAAAATCAAATATCCCCTACTTTTTTTGAATAGTATAATTTGGTGTAAGCTAAAATATGTATAAATAGGCTGACTAGATGGATATTTATCTTGTCTACGATATCACCTTAGGTGGAAGTGGACGTAAAACTCTAGGAACGAACGAACGGACGCATATTTATCATTAACTTGAAAACGTGACCTGTATGTGTTCTGAAACGTCGTTATTAAATAATAGAGAAGTAGTTATATCCATATATACCTTGTGTTGTGTTTTGTTATGAATAGTTAACCATGCTTCTAGATGTCATTTAAAGAATTACTACACACTTGTCAGCACTGTTGGCGCCACCCTTGACAACTGCAAACCGCGAGGCTGATCGAATCAAGGAAAGGAATCACTGCGGACAATCTAATGACACACGGTATTTAGAAATAATAGGGATCGTTTAACAGTTTCCCAGGAATAAATATTCGTATTTGTGTCATTACAGTGTATTCAAAATATATATTCTTTTGTTTTCAGCGAAGAAACTGTCAGATTTTATAGTAGAAGTGGGTGTACCATGTTCACTTTCCAACTCTATTTGTTGGAGTTTGTGTTTCTATTATCCTGGTGTACAAGATCAAGAGACTATAGAAATACAATGTAACGAGAATAACATAGGGCAATATGTTAAAATACAGTTAAAACAGCCTAGTACACTATCATTATGTGAAGTTGAGGTGTACGCGTCTCTGGCAGAAACCTCTGGTAAGTACATTGGCGTAAATTCCGATACACGGAATCCAGCGAATTCCTTATATTATTATAATGTTAACAGATTGTATACTTGGAATAACAGGAAGAGAAAACGAACATAAATAAAAATTCGACTAGTGTCTGTGTCAGTGGTGTGGCGTGCAGAAGGGGCGACGACTCCAAGCATGCATTTCAGCGGGTGAGGTCATCCAAATTACGTGGGGTTTTTTGACATTTGAAATTATTGTTTCGTTGTAGTACAAGTCGCCCTTGTAAAGAGTTTATTCATGTGTTTTCACATGGTTCTATACTTGAGGGCATCACCAAACCTCTATAAAGTCTTAGCCCACCTTTATCCGCCTTGGTGGCAAAGATCTCATTTGGACTTCAGTTATACTGATTATCAAACCTACCAAGATACATTATTCTTAGACATCAGTATGAGACTTTGTCGGGTATTTAATGAGACCTTAATTACAAATAGGCTACTTCACTGTACACATTTTCTGGTTGATAACAAAAGTCGACGGCCGGATTATTCTGGCGCCAGATTATTTTGTGTACTGAAAATTATAAGACCAAACGATGGGACTATCCCCACAGATTAGATAATAAACGAATGTTTGAAATTAATTTTGGCCATTGAATAAAGTTGACCTTTAATTCGGAGAAGCTTGGTGATGATGAAGGACAGTCGGGATGAAGTATGGATAAACTAAAATTGAAACACATTCCTCTAAATCATGAACTAATATATAAAACAATATTAAATTATCAAAAGATTTAATGACACCAAAATTAATACTTGTTACAATCTTACTTGTTTTAGCGACTAGCCTATATACTTATATACAAAATGAGGTGATACTTTTTTTTAATAAAACATTGTGATCATTGCGATCTTGATAATTGATCAAATGAATATGCAAATGAGCACCGTACTTGTTACCAGGAAAATATTAACATTCTTTAGAAAAGTGAACCGAATATAAACCTAATTCTTTGATCAAAATAAAATACTGAATTATATTGATTTGAATTTTTATTAGTGACGAAATATAATCCAAGAATACCCATTCTTTATTTCACAAATAATGAAAGCCATTATTGTATACCATATATAAGAACTTTACACTGGTGGCAGAAGGCTAATTACATAAACGGAACGATATAAAGTGTTTTCTTTTGGCTACTCTTAATTCAATTTATTTACCTTGACATGCTTTGTTTTGTTGGCTTTTTTTTTAAATTCACACTCGGAATATAAATGAAGGGACTACTTACTCTGATCAAGGTAAATAAAACACTTTTGATTCAATTTCAAAGACCAACCTAGTCGTAAAAATCTGAACAAAAAGTCAAGCGGGGTAGGCCTATTTCACATCAACTTTATACGAGTGGGTGATTTCGGGACGAACATAATAGTGGTAATTCTCTGCATAACAGAGAAAGAGTCCAATAAGCGTTTAGACGTTGTATTGGGGTAAAAATGGCAAATAATGATGGTAAATATTAAATATTAAGCCTTCAGAGATAACGCTTAGTTTCGACAATTAGACAATTTCAAATTTGTACAATAATTCAATATCCATCGACCCATACTGTGAGCTCTCACAATGCCTGCACAGGTGCTGGCTTGTGGTAAGTTGATTTTCAAACAAGTTTGTAAAGAGTATAGTTTTAAACCCTCTTTCATTAAATTCCAAAATATCTAAGTCAATTTCCCAAAAGTATAAAACCCCAAACAACTAAGAAGTAGAAGCTGTGATTACATTTCTATTAAAAACATTGTGGATGAAACAAAATATTGTACAAGTGTAATTCTTGTGTATTTTCTTGAATTCTCATGGTTTAATCCATTAAGACAAGACTTTTGTTGGTTGTTAATATTTCTCTATTCTTTGGTTAACAATAATCAACATAACTTACAGCAAACAATTAATGTAACAATTATTGGTTCAATGCTTAATAGTAAATAAGCTCCAATGTGGATATGGGAATTGACATAAACTTGTGTTTCCATATATCCAAATTCAGGTAAATCAAGTCTGTTCTTAGGGATGTGATATGAAGTTGATATCCTGATAACAGGTTACTAGAAAGCTCCCCTCTAATTCTGTTATTTAGTTCTATATATCCCACATGCATCGCCTAGAGCATTTATCCAACAAACCTATCGTCTATACAAACAATACACCACGGTAACTTAAAACGCTTTAGGTTTAGCCCGTAGACGTTAATTACAATATATAAGGTCAATTTAAAGTGTAAAACAAAGAATGGAGACAGCTGATTAAAGAAATATATAAGACAACATGAAATAGATATAAATTGGGGGAAATTAAGGTGGATTAAGATCCATTAAAATATAGTTTACTGAAATGAGTAATACTGTGCGGATTAGCACGACGTCTTAAACATTTACGATCTGGTCGTAATTCACTCGGTGTGTTCCCACTTAGCCGGCAGACTGTTAATCCTTTGATTGATCTTAAAACTATAGTCTGTTTAAAAGTAGTCACTCAAGAACTGTTCACTAGTAAGGCATTTATTTATAAAATTTATAAATTATATAATGCTATTTAATAAAAGTTAAATGTGTAAATTGTAATGCATTTTTATATGTGTAAATCATTTAATGTTATTTAATAAATATTAAATTTGTTAAAATCAATATATTTTTATATGTGTAAGCTATTTAATGTTATTTAATAAAAGTTAAATTTGTTAAAATTCAATACAGTTTAAGTCTTAAAAAAGATATGGACTATAGTTTATAACACCATTGTTCTAGGATTAACTCTGGATTAGCGGAAAAATTTGACATCAAAGCCTGCCGGCTAAGTGGGAACACCCCATTCACCCTACTACAATATGAAGGAGCTTCTACTTCCTCAATTTATACTCTTAAATCTTCCCGAAAGGGCTGGGCTCATTTTCTTATACTTAACATTTGTACCAAACAAAAAGTTAACGTTTCTATTTAAAACACCAAGGATCCAATTTAAACCAATATTTAAAATGTCTGAGAACAAGGAAGTTAGTCCTTGTAAACGATTGTCTACGCATTTTGAATGTTATTGAAGTGTAATGATTATTGTATTTTTCTATTTGAATTGTTGATTCTTTTCAGATGTCGCAACGTCATCGACCCTTACCGCACCAGAATCAAGTGTACACGAGTTTTCTTATATCGATTCAGAAGTGACATTAACAAGTGTAAATTTTGCAACGAGTATACGCCTGGCCGTAACTGGTACATTGACAAATGATATATCTTGGCATACGGAGTCGGAACATTTCAGTGGTTTATCAACCGAATTTTCAGCAGACCTTACCAATTACTTACCTTATGGAGTCACGTCAAGCGAAAGTTTTAATGTAACGGAGATCACGGTTCAGCAGTCGGATACAAGTGGATTTCAATCGGTCCCTTTTTCAGTTACGGAAAGTGTCGAGCACCTGCTGGTTACGTCACCACCTTTGTCTGTGAATTCTGAAAGTCAGCTAGATTCTTTAACAGCTGAAGTTTCGGGGGGTGTCAGCGTAGACTTGTTGACTGCGTCTTTACCCTTTACTTACTATACTAATGATGTCGGGCCAAGTGAAGGTTATAATGCAAGGGATTCACATACCTTTCAACCGAGTTCATTTTCAGGTGCCAGCGAAATCCTATTGCTTATGTCTGCATTGTTTTCTGTGAATTCGAATAGCCAATTAGATTTTTCAGAGGGCCATACAGTTGTAATTTCAGAAAGTGTCAGTGATCTACTGATTGTATCACCACCCTGTACTACTGTGAATTCTGAAGGTCTGTCGGATACTTTATGGAGTCAAAGCGTTGAAAAATCAAACGGTTTCAGCGAAGACCTGCTGCTTGTATCTTCATTCATTTCTGTGAATTCTGAAAGTCAGCTCGATGCTTCAATTATTGCAATAGACGAAAGTAGTCAGGGGATTGTTAAGACTTCTGATCGCATATGGACTTCTGCTGATTTCTACGAACCTGGCTCTGTGATAAGTACAACTGTTGACAGTTCAAGTCAAATTATCAAGATGGTGGACGTTCCTGGAACAATTATCGTTTCAAACATAACTTGTGCTACTCCTAGTTACTTACCAACTACTGCAATGGCTGAAGATATGTGTTACTGCGACTGCTTTGAGATTGATTTAAATCCCGTTGTCCTGCAAGAAAAATTGGATAATATCCTATCAAATATAACCGTCAACATCGATCAATTATCTAGCACCAGACGTGAAAAGACCTCAGCTGTGGATGACAGGCCAACTGCCATATCAGTTGGTTTCTTTGGCATTCTCATCATAACCGTTGTCATAGCTGCCATCGTATTTCAGGATGTAGTTTCACTTCTCTATTTTCTGGCGAGGGGAATTATCCGTAAAATCAAAACCGGCCAATTTACAGAGTCACGAAAGCTTCCCAAAAAGAAGAAAAGGAAAACAGAGCCAGAACCGCCTACAAAAAAGGAGACCATAAATCCCACATCATATACCAGTTTGCCTGACGTTGAAAATCCCGAAATTGTTCAACCAACTGTAGAACAAATTCCAATGGTTTCCGAGGCAGCTGCTTTGTCTGGTCGTCCAAACATTCCATCCAGCTCGAAACCCAAAATGGCGAAACCTAAGAATAAACCAAAAGTAAAAAGATCTTCTGACAGTTCACTTCCTAGTAAAGGAAAAACGGTCACAAAAATATCTGGGGTGACACGTCCAATCAAGAAGAAGACAGGGACAAAGAAACTTGTTAATGTTAAAGCAGTTAAATCAAACCCCAACAAACCAAAAGAAAAGTTAAATATATAGTTTAGTTTTAAACTTTTTCGTCGAGAAATTATCCAGATTTATAAATTTGAATTTAAGTTTAAATCCAGTCCATTTAAATCCACTAAAGCCTTTCTTGTAGTTTAGTGGACCTTTTTAATATGCAAATCGTTTTTTGAAATACACTACAGAAGAAAAAGCCATTATGTGAATCTGACTGGAATGGGAAAATACGAAACCCATCATTGGTGAAGTGGGGTGTTTTCTTTGTCTTTTAAAGTGCATAAATAACAAATCTAGAAATAATATAATGGTAGTCGTGCTGTTGATCCAAATGAAATATTGTTCAGGTGTATCCTTTTACCTTCACATCCTGTAGATTGTTTAAATTACATTTAATTGGTACTGGGTTTCCTGACAACCGATGTGTTATATAGAAATCAGAAAACTGTTTGATAAATGGCACAAATAGAACATTTTATACTTTTGAAATTTAATATATTATGATATTTCATGTTTACCTGATACGAGGGAATTTTAAATCGTTCGCAAATCTTTGTATTGTTATTAACGGAAGTTATCCCAACTGTTTAATTTGCGAGAAGAATGGGGTGGACAATATTGTCATGGCAGCGTCAAATGCATTTTCTTTTTACGACGGTTATTATACTGTCTTCGGGAAACATGAATGCCCGGACAAAAGTAATTAATTGTATTATAGAAGGGTCAAATGCAAACCAACTGGGCTACTGCCAATTAAATTTTGTTATATATCTACATTTACCAATGATATAATTCCTTGCAACTGTGGAATAAAGGCGGTATATTTCCAGACCATTTTAGCTGTATCTTTATTCTTAGAATTAATTAAGAGTTAGCTTTCAATATTTTCTTTAATTGTTAAAACGAGAAATATCAGATATAATTTTGTCAATGAATAAAACTGGTTAATATCTGGTGAAAGTTTGTTGTAAACCTTAAATCTACTTGCCGTGTAGAGTGACTGTATATCCACGGGCCATTACACTGTGTTCGAAGAACATAATAAAATTGTAAAATAAAAGTTTGTGAACCCCAGTAAGCAATCCTACTCATCCCTCCCGAATGGCTCAGTTTTTTTAGATGAAATTTCTAAATAGGCGATATCGATATATACTATTCAAAAAAAGTAGGGGATATTTGATTTTTAAGTGTTATTAAAGTCACCTAATGAAACTGACGAAGAAACAAATGACAAAATGAAATGAAGTTCACATTCATCGATTTATTCCAAATGATTGTTAGACTAAGTAAGGCACAGACTGACCATTATAAGGGTAAAATGATACCCGGGGTCAAACAGCAAAGTTACCACAGCATCACAACCAAGTCAGTAACGGGTAAATCCTCCTCTGTTTGCCAAACAAGCATTGATCCGACGTGGCATACTCCTAATGAGACGTCTAAGGTCATTTTGGTCCAGATTGTCCCATTCCTGTTGCAACGCAGCAGCAAGTTCTTGGACATTGGCAGGACGTTGTTGACGTTGACGTAACCTCTGTCCAAGCATGTCCCAGACATGCTCGATGGGGGAGAGGTCGGGACTCAGTGCTGGCCAAGGTAATGTGGTGATGTTCTGTTGTTGGAGGTAACCTGTAACGATCCTGGCCCTGTGACATCTTGCGTTGTCATCCTGGAAGATGAAACGGCGGCCATGACATCGTGCGAACGGCACAACATGGACTGCCAAGATGTTGTCCCGGTAGTACTGGCCTGTAACACGCCCTGCAACAACATGTAAAGCCGTTCTTCCAGCAACAGTGATGCCTCCCCACACCATAACAGAACCACCCCCAAATCGATCATGTCTGATGACGTTAACGTCTTGGAAGCGCTCGTTTCGACGACGCCACACCCTCCTACGTCTGTCCAAAAAATCAACAGTGAACCTTGACTCATCTGAAAACATCACATTGCTCCAGCGTCGATTATCCCAGTGTTGACGATCCCTACACCAACGACGTCTTGCCTGAATGTGATGATCTCTCAAACAAGGGATCACGCGAGGACGTCGGGCGCGAAGGTGACCCCTATGCAGTCGATTCCGAATCGTCTGGCCACTCACTCTCACACCAGTGTCTGTTTGAAGACGAGCGCTGATCTGATTTGCTGTGATGACACGATTTCTCAAGGCCAAGGTACGGATAAATCGATCCTGGGCTTGAGTTGTCGCCCTTGGTCGACCTGAGCGTGGTCTGTCCTGTACAGATTGTGTATCACGGTATCTGGACCATAGCCTGCTTATGACAGACTGAGAAACATTCATCGTCCGCGCCACAACCGCCTGTGTTGTGCCGATCTGTAGCATGCCAAGGGCACGTAACCTTTCATTTTGGGTAAGCCGACGCATATCAAAATTTGTTTTCTGGTCACTAAAACAATTAAACTGATGTTTCCACCCTGGAATTCAATGCCACAATGACTGTAACATTCAAAGTCAGAGTCGTGCAAATCTTGGGTTGGACCCAATTATGATCCCAAGCATCACCTGCATTCCATGCGGTAGCTATTGGTGCGTTTGGGCGTCACATGTAACTGGAAATGTTTCTTCTGTTAGGTTCTATAGTGACTTTTTTCGTAGTCATTTGCATATTTTAGTATTATGCCCCCAAAATCAAATATCCCCTACTTTTTTTGAATAGTATATTTTGACGTTTTATTTAACCCTGTTGAATCTGGGGCATCTCCTTTAGAGAACCAACCTTTCGACATTTAGAGTTGTTCAAAGATTCTTTGTTCTTTGTTGAAATCGTTTGCCGGGTTATTCTCCCCGTCACCGAAACGCTCTTTAATTTTATTTCAGTCTTGCTGGAACTGTAGAGCGAATATTGTCGAAATTGAGAGCCGCGCAACGATTGCTTGCAAACGCTCCAGGGGTCGGAATTTTGAAACCTTTTCGAAACCAGCAAGTATTATTCGACTTCATGTAAAAAGAATGGTTTGGGGGGGGGGGGGGTGCGTGTAGCAATATTCGGGAGAGTTACTGCTTCTGTCGCCATATGTACAGAATTATTACGATTTTGTTCCTACAATTCTTTTTTCAAATTTGCAAGAATTGTATCGAAATACATAGAAAACCCATCAATTTACCCTCTAACTGTTGCAAGTGGGTGTTTATCCACTGCCTTGGTTGTGTCTTTGGAAAGCAGGGCCGGCGGAAGCAATTCTTGATTGGGGTGGCTACCATCCTAGGACTTTAGGCAAGGATCCAGGGACCGTCTAGGCCCCGGAAGCTCCCAGGCTCTAGATCGCCAGAGACAATTTCTGAGCGATTTTCGGCTAATAAAATTACTCAGTAAATGAGGTGAAATTTTATTCCTTTTCTAAACCCTTGACCACGCAAACCCAGTTGATGGTGGTTTACTGCGATACTGAACTTGACAAATATATGCATAATAATACCAATGTTGTGGACACTCTAGAGGTCACAATTTTATACGATTTTGATAAAACTGGCAATGTATGTTTATAACCGAAAGATCTTGGTTTATTTTGATATTGGCGCATATATAACATCACTTCCTATTTTTAGCTTGTGGACTCTTTACAGCTCACAGTTTTTATTTGATTGTAAAAAGCCGTTTAAATATATCGCCGTTACACAATAATTACGGTTGAGTGCAAAATTCGTGAAAATCGGACCGAAACAGCCGGACAAAATCTCCGCTAAACTTAAAAGTATGTAATGCCCAGGTTGTGGACCACCCAGAGGTTCGAATTTTCATCCAATCTGATATGTCCCTAAGGTCTGGTTTCCTTTCGATATTGGCGCGTATTCGATCGTAACTGACTGGATTATGAGCCCTGGTTGTACGAAATATCACGTTTTTAGCTTGTGGACCCGCTATAGGTCACCCTTTTTATCTTATTTTAAAACTCGTTCAAGTATATCATCTTTACATAATAATTATGGTCGAGCCCGAATTTCGTGAAAATGCGACCGAAACTTCCAGTCAAATGGCCGCTTCCCTTTACGCAAATACTATAAAATTATGTAATGCCCAGGTTGTTGACCATCCAGAGGTCACAAATTTTATCCGATTTAGACGAAACTTAAACCGAGTATCACTAGTTCTTGGATGGGTTCAATTTTGGCGCGCATTCAATCTGATTAAAACGCAGATCCTATTTCGCTTCGTTTTTTATAGTTCAAAATTTTGTTTTACTTGTCTTCACTAGACTAGGATCTGAAAGAGTTGTTATATTACCGGCGTTGTGGTTGAAGTGAGGGACAAGCCAATGAAACCTTCTGTTACGACGACCTCGTGGCGTGCCATGGCGGAACTGTGGGTAAACCACTAGAAACGTCAATACTGATTGATTAATCAATGTCTGACGTCATAGGGTCAAAAGCCGCTCGTCCGACCCTTGACACGACCTCATAGTACAACTTGTCAGATCTTCATGTAGTGTAGGCCATCGAAAGTATAAAAAAACAGCGGCTGTCAGGAAGGATACGCCCAGATTTTTCAAGAGCTGGATAGAGAACAAGCTAAACATAATTCAGGAAGGTAGGGAACCGAGAGTCTTTGGGTTATAAACATGCATTTCAAGTTTCATTAAAATCATATCAAAATTGTGACATCTAGAGGGTCCACAACCTTGATATACCAGATGTTTACACTATTTGGGTAGAGGGGCGGCCGTTTTGTCTGGCAGTTTTCTTCCGATTTTCACGAAATTCGAACTCAAAAAACATTACGGTGTAACGGTGCTATATTTGAACGTTTTTGTGAATCAGATAATAATTGTGACCTCTAGAGGGACCACAAGCTAAAAACGCGATTTTTCGTACAGTGAAGGGCCATAATTCAGGAAGTTACGATCGAAAGGAACCAAGATCTTTGAGTTAGAAACATCTTGACCATCAGTTAGCTAAATTATAAAACCCATCTTTATTATATTTAAAACGGTGCAATGTTGTATTTCAATTGTCATGTAATTAAGAGTGATCTTTTCTAATTCAAAAACCCTACTGTAAAAGTAGTGGTATCAGTTTTCTTAGTTGACGTTTTGTTATACAAGGATTTTGGTGTTGTTACGCTCGTCTTTACTTACACATTAATCACCTCAACAGATTGGGGTTAACCTAGGTAAATTTGGTGTGAACATATCCCACGTTACAATTGTCAAAATCAATTGCTTTTTACTCTAATATACCTGTCTTGTAGTTAAACCATAATTTTGAAAACGTCTGCATATCTCGTGTATTATGGATCGTAATGTAAGCTATTAGAAGATTAGCTCCGATCAGGGTATAGTTTATTACGGCTCAGTTATCGGAAATCAACACATCAACGACTTATTACTATTCCATCGCTTTTATTTATTTACTGTCCTGTGTGTAAACTTATACTGTTAATCTATTATGCGATAGAATATTCACTTGATTTCAAGTATTTCAAGTTTATTCAAAAGAAGAATCTCTCGAAGACATTGTCATAAATTTCGTTTTTTATACGCCCACATTTTCATGTGGACGTAATTGTCGTTGCTCCTGTCCGTCCGGACGTCCGCCCGTCCACAATTTGTTTGTGGACTTTCTACATGTCACAATTCTTGTCCGATTTTGACGAAACTTGAAATATAGGTTTATCCCCAAAAGGTCTCGGCTGCTTTCGATATTGGCATGTATCGGATCGAAACTTCATGGATTATGGCCTCTGTTTATACGAAAAATCACGTTTTTAGCTTGTGGACCCTATAGAGGTCACAATTTTTATCCGATTTTGTTGAAACTTGAAATGTAAGTTTATAACCCAAAGATCTCAGTTCCTTTCAACATTCTCGCATATCGGACTGTAACATCCTGAATTATGGCCCCTGATTGTAC